TGCTGCATCATGTGATCCCCCCACTCAGAGGATCTTTATAAACGTTTTAAGTATTGCACATCTTTAAACATGACTCTTATAAATCACTTTTAAAACCAGCGATGGACTACAGTGTCAGCTTTTCTAAAAATCCTGTGCGCAACAAAAAACATTGGGGAATGTTGTCTGTAGTCCATGTTTAAGCACCACCTGCAGTCTGTTTGCAGGAGTTTTATCTGGCTCTGTGCTGACAAAAGCCCTAAACTGGATCAGCTCCTGCCAGTCAGTGCCACCTCCTGCTCCACTGTCTCGTCATATTATCAGCAGAGCAGTCTCTAGTTTTACAACTTTGCCACACAGCGCGGAGGCCTCTCGCCGTGTGTCCTGACGCTCTTTGTTATCAGCCGCCAAAATGTGTAAAGCCCCTCTAATACCTCATTCACACCAATGGTGTTTCAGGGCCGGTTCGGAGCTGGAGCTTGAAAAGCACCGGGTTTTCCTGTTCACACCACAGCGGAGCAGCCTCTTAGCTCCGGAATCCGGTTCGTTTCAAGCAACAAAAAATTGTCCGGCTAGAGCAAAAGCACCGCATACGTCACGCTTACATCGAGGCGGGGCAGGGGCAGGGGCAGGGGCAGGGGCGGGATCAACTCCTGAACAACATCAAAAAGCCCGCGTTTTATCCAGTTTGTACACAACGATGGAGAAACTTAACAAGCAGCAGTGGTCCACTGAAGAGACCAGCTACCTATTGGGAATCTGGCCTTCCGAAGACGTACAGAGGAAGCTGGAGCACAATCGGCCATTGAGCAAGAGTTCAATTTTTTCAACGTTAGCTTAGCCTGGTCGACCCAATCTCCATTCAGAAAACAAGCATTTTAAAAGGTTTTTCGCCTGCCGTCTTGTCTGCAGACTTGTCAAGCATTAATTCATGGTTTTTACTAACCGGTATCAGTATGTTGTTACGTCGGCATCATTTAGAAACGTGCATTACAATTTAATCACGGTAAAATATGTTCATTTTGTTGTAGTTGAGCTCCCGAGCCAGCGCGTCTTGTTTGAATGATGCGAGTCAACAGAGCTGGCAGCCGCGGTGAAACTCGAGCGATTAGAGCGAAGCGAATATTCGCATCGCGTCCGGTGTGAGCGCAGCATAATGAATGCATAATACGGCTTCCACAGATGAATTTTTTTATGTATTTATTGTCAAAGCAATTAATGTATTCATTGCTATCGGGATGTTAAGCGCATTCCATGGAATATAACAAAAAGTGTTTCTGAAGTGAATTACCTACCCCACCTTTAAGACACTTATTTTCACCCAAACTAGAACTAACCAAAGCTTAACAACAATGTCACATTATAAATAGTATTTATTTTTGTAACAATCATTACGTTTTTATAAAGCACAGACCAGGCCAATAGTTGGTTTCAGATACAAAACTATTCTGTGTGTCTTTATATAGTGCATGGACAACATTTTGGCAATAACAAATACACTGCTGCTTGGAGGACTTGTTTGATTGTCATAGAATTCCTCAGATAGACAGATAGACATATAGATAGATAGACATATAGATGGATAGATAGATAAGATAGATAGATAGACAGACAGACAGATAGACATATATATTATATATATATATATAGATGGATAGATAGATAGATAGATAGATAGACAGACAGACAGAGAGATAGACATATATATATAGATGGATAGATAGATAGATAGATAGACAGACAGACAGATAGACATATATATATATATATATATATAGATGGATAGGAAATGGAATTGATGGATTTGCATCCGATAAATATGCATGTTACATCACATTTTTTTTGGTGGTATTTTTCAGTTATCCATTGTGCCAAAGAGCAAAGGGTTTTAAGACTCTTGTCATTTGTAAATTGAAGAAACAGTTTGAATGGGTACATCTATAATTGATAACTACAAGGCTGTGCGTCATGGTTGTGCTGGTGTGGGCTAATGATGAGTTGATATAAAACCGTATCCCCGACAGCGCGGAAAATAGTTTGACACGGCCAGCTGAATATTTTTTAACATGATCAAAGAACATTTTCCAACTGTTTATCCGGGTCCTTTAAACAATTCTAATTGCGTAATTATTACTTAAGATTTCAAGGTTTTCCCTCTCCAGTTGCAAACTGCTAATAACCTCTGAAGTGAGTAGCTCAAAAGGAAAAATCGACAACACTTTAATGAGGAAACCTTCAGCAGGGTGCTCAGACTTCTGTCACTACCACACAGCCTTTAAGTGGACACGATAGATTTCTGAAAGTTTTAATTACAACCTACTTCGGCAGAACTTTGGCCCGCTGTGCCAATATTTCTCTCAGATATTAATAGCATTTCTCCAACAGGTTGAGATTTATTTTCATTTTTGCACTCTCTGGGTTTCTTCTGACCAACTAAAGGCATCTGTCAGGAATCACATTTCCTAATCAAATGAAAGGATAAATCACCTTGCCATCATTTCCCAAGGTGTCCATTTTTATAAATAACAATAGAAATAGGGCAATTTTCTGCAAACCTGTTAACTTTACCTCAAGTCTAGAAGCATTTCCTGACAAATTATTTTCTAGCTTTTATTTGGGGCACCAAATAATTCAGTTTGTAGAACAACAAAGTTCACTCACACAGAGAAAGCTATCAGTATAAGCACTCTATCCGACTCTGTTGTACAGGGCCACTAAAAAGAATCTCAAAAGCATTGACATATTGAAACAACATATTAGGACAAGACACATTGAAAGGAAAGATCTTAGGGTGCAGATGAGTGGGATATTAGTTATAGAGATGGGCTTTTGTATTTAAATAGAAGGAACAGATGGGCTCAAACACAAATTATGGTTGTATTTATTTTATTCAAGCCTGGAGGCTTTTAAGAATATCATTTCCAAGAGAGCAGAATTAATGACATGTACAGTAGTGGAATAAGTTCACATTATGACAAGGAAAATCAAATCAAAGAAGTCATGTTCTGGGGTGGGGACTAATGAATATGAAATCTACTCCAGAGCACTTTATTGTAGTTTATTTGACTTAACAAGCTTTTCATTTTATTCTCTGCATACATAATGTTGCACAACATACTTTTCATCCACATATGCACAACCAAACGATCCATTATACCATGTTTTATAATTGAGAATATTGACTCAGCACCCCACTGACCCTGGTTATCTAACACTGCCTTGACAGTCTGAAAACATACAAGTGGGTGTGTGCCTGCTGTATAGCTTGGGTTAATGGATTTGAGCTTGTTGACAGTGCTATCAAAAGTGAATGTAAACGCATTTTCAATATCCAAGTACTGTTGCTGTGAATAATGAATACCTTTGTGCCAAGTGCTTTTTAGTGTCCACATTTCAGAGAATTTATTTGGCTATCAAACCAGAATCAGTTGAGATTGCGTTTTATCGCTGTGTAGTTTTAATACTACACTGTTTTACTGTAAATATGTATACAGGAACCATTTAAGACCAATTTAACAACCATAAGCACTTTTGAAAATTCTAAATACATATTGGTAGATTTTAGCAAATATTCTGCTAATATTGAAAAAAATTAATTCCTCATGCCCTAAACTCTACTTTAATTTATTCTAATCTCACAAACAACTCATGTTGATTATTCTCTCAGAACCATCACACGAATTTGTAATTCAGCTAAGGTTGGAGAGAAATAAGGAAAAATGTAAACCCTGTAGCTGTTAAAAAAACTATTTCTTATACATTCCTCAAATTGTTTGAGGAATTAGCTTTTTAAAATGTGAATTAATGTAAAGCTGTGTGATTTATATAAGACTGCTGTTGCTGTTCTCGTGTACTGCAAAGAGGCACATTCTGAAGGTTAAAGGTGGGGTATGTAATTTATTTCAGAAACACTTTTTTGTTATATTCCATGGAATGCTCTTAACATCCTGATAGCAATGAATATGTTAAATGCTTTGACAATAAATACATTAAAAAATGTCATCTGTGGAAGCCGTGGCGCTGTAAAAAGCACGACCAATCATCTGAGCCGGCCCGGCTAAAATAACTGGATGGCCTGCCTGCTTGTCAGCCTTCCATCTGTGCACAAATTTATCTCGTGCCCTCATTGGTCATGTGCGCATTCGTGTGTGTTGGAGGAGGGGCTCTGTAAGGAAGTAGCAGATTTTTTCCGGCTATGTATTTCAAATTCTAGCGCACTCGGGCTGGTTTCTCCAAAATGACCTACTCCACCTTTGAGCAAAACTATTAAAGAAAGAAGATTAACATAATGGTAAGGAGGTACTTTAATTGGAAAGTCCACCCCACCAATTACTAAATCTGTGCTGAATAAATGATGGTTATGAATCAGACTTTATACGCAAGAGCTGTAGGTAAATTAATTAAAGCTGCATCTACTGTATAATAAAATAAGCAAAAAGTTAAGTAAAGTAGAGAAGGACAGTGTTATAGAACTGTAAAACTACAGGATATATTTATAACTGTACACATCTGTGAGCAGCAGAATATAATTTCACTATTTTACCTTACTGACAACACATACTATAAAGTTTGTATCACATAATCAAAAAGAAATCTGAAGGATCTGTGGTTTCAAAAAGATAAATCCCGCAGCTTTTTACTGGGGTCAGAGCACTTAACCTGCAGCCTGTATTGCATTTCTCAATATCTCTCAATAATGTAATTGAAATCATTATTTGAAAAGGAGCTTTTCTCTCCTCGTGCCCCCAGAGGTGTTCAGCACTAATTGTCTCGGGTGTCTAAAGATACCTCAACACCTTCTAGCTTAGCACGTGTTTCTGTAACACATCTTAATGAAGGCAAAAACTTGCAGACACTTCACACTTATTTCCATTTCCTTGTTAGAGAGGAGGATTAGGTGAACATTATTATTGAATTTTTAAAAGAGAGACCAATTTTCCATGGCAACCGTGTGTGTCTTTTGTCACACATTGCTGCTTATACACTCTGTGTAGCACTGCAGATGTTAGCTTTTTAGTTGGAGCGGAAGGGCAAGACAATGCTCTGTGCATGACTAATGTCCTGATTGTCTTTACTCCATTTTGTTCCTGTTATGAACATCAGATTCATTAGAACAGTTCAAAAAAGGAGACATCGGTGGAAAAGTTCGTATTTCAGAGATGGGCTTTACACAGTGCTCTTTTCTTCTTCCACTGAATTCTATTTAATTAAAAAAGTATTAAGAATAATCCAACAACACAGAATGCTACCGTCTTGTTCCTTTGTGTGCTTTGCACACTGTCTGCTGTTTCCATCGTAGAAGTATGAGCTCAGGGAGCATGACGCAGTTTGTATTCAGTCCGTGTGACAGGCAGCAAAGCAGCAATCTTGTCTGTCGAAAGACAATGATTCCACTCAGCTGCCATGTTGTGCACACAAATGTGCTATAAGCCATCAGTCCTGAAGTCTGTCGCCCTGCACAGGGACATTTAAAGTCAGTAAACAAGTCAAAAAGATTCTCTGTGGAGGGTTAGTTTTAAAGAAGAACCTCCCAAACTCTACTTGACTTCATTTGCTTACATATTTGGTTTGAACGTGATTTCTACATTTTTCAAAATGTATGCTTTTTTTTTTTTTACCCCAATCACTTTAGTTATTGAAAAATATATTATTGATTTTTGCATATATGAAATTTACATAGCTGCACCCTCCCAGTGTGCCTTCAAATAAAGTATATTAGAAACAAAAAAGAGAAGCATAATATGGTAACGTACAGCTCATGCCATGTCAACAGCAATGTATGGGGTTTGATCTCAGCTCTGTCAGATAAATTCAGAATTGTAAACAAAAAGTAAAAAAAAAATGAAGATAAAAGCAACAGTATCACTCTTATCCAGAGCTTGAACTGAAATTCCAAGATCTAAAACTTGATTAGTCTACAACATTTTAATAGCCAAATCATTGTTTCAATATTTTTAAGGCGCACATATGTAAACATGCTTTAGTTCCAGTTAAAACAATTTTACAATTTCCGGCTGTTCACTGATCATTGTAAATTCAACATCTTTGGTTTGTGGGCTGTTTTCCAATATAGCAAATAATTTCAAAATGTCACAGCCTCCTTCCTCCTCTGGGAAATTGAGATGGGTCTTTTTCATTTATTTCTGACATTTAAACAATTCATTGGTTGATTGAGAACACAAATCACTATATTAATCAATATTCATCCAACCTGTGGTTGCACCCATCTCTACTTTTCACACAGAAGTATTACAAGCAAAACATGACCAAATGGCAAAAAACGAGGCATACACAAACCCAACATGTGCACACAACCATCCGTTACTAAACTCAGCAGACAGGTCAGGCAAGAATCCATAATGATCACCTCACAATGTCGTTGCAGATGTATCCCAGACAAACAGCAAGTCAAAAATACATAGAAACAGTCGCTCAAGTCCCCCACACTCACAGGCACTACTTTCTGAGACGTCGTCTGAATTGTAATAGTTTGACTGTGCATTAGGTTTGCATTACACTCAAGACTTGAGCTTTTTAGTCAATGTTCTACATGATTGAAATTCTCAGTCAGCCATCAATCTGCATTATAGACTGGTTTCCCCTTGTCTGGTGGGAGCTAACTGAAACAGATTGAGACAGCTCTTGCTCACTGCATCACTAATGGCTGCCAATGAAAGACATCTCTGTGCAGTTGACCCGTGTGTGGAACAGGATCACGTCGCAGCTCAGAGCGATGTGGAGAACACAGCTCAATATAGGGAGTCTCTTCGGCATCAGTCACCAGTCAACAGCATCCTCATCCTATTGACTAAATGTTGCCTAGAAATAGAATCTAATCACGGGGTTTGGACAGGCTCTAGTTCTCCTAATGGTTTACCATTAGCTGCCTGGAACAAATCCCAAAGTATGAGGAAATATAACATTATATTCCAGGGTGTCTGCGTGGTTACAGTATAATGGGTTCTCGGTTATTGCCATGGACGCTGCATGTTCCTGTGCTTAGATACATACAGACATAGGGTTGATTATTAATCTCTTCTTTTGTTTGAATGCTTCTCAGTATTCTATGTCAAAACCCCCAATATCAACCTGAGGAAAGGACACAAAAAACAGTATTTTGGTGGGTAGGCATTTTCTCCACTCAGCTGTGTTGTTTGGATAATACAGGAGTGCAGCCTAAGTGAAACAATTTCGAAGCCATTTTGCAGAGGGGCCACAACAGAATCATTACCTGCATGGAGTAATTGACAGTGAACACAGGCATCCTGTTAATTGATTACCAAGGCCTGTGCTAATGGAAAATGCAAAGCCTCGTTGTATCTCCCGTAGAGCTCCTGACAAGAGCATTTCTACACAAAGACAGGCAGAGGCACACCCAATAATGTTTCTAGACTTTTCCTCAGGGAGCATTAGAATACCTTTCAGATATTCCAATGCATAATTACCTACAAGATGATGATCCAGTCAAAGATTGCACAGTGGAATATCTGGCACACTGCTGATCAAAAACAGAATAAAACCCCCCAGGGGGTAACCGTGCCTCTACAGAAATATAACTGAATTAATGGTACGCTGCTTTTTTCATCCAGGTTGAGATGAGGATGCGAGGGTATGGGCCCCTCTCCCCTCTCGTCCAGAATTCAGCCTCCAGCTCCTCCTCTGATGCATCGTTTGCATCAGTACTTGGGAACACTTGTCCGCGCGCTGCTGCACCTCCCCACAGTGCATTCCCGGACTCCACTTTACCAGGTGATGACAGACTCACGCTCAAGAGTGAAAATGACATGTTTTTAACACGCCTGAAGTCGGAATTAACGTAGAATGGAGCGTCGTCTCGGTCACTACGTTTTTATCTTTTTCTCTAAGTGGATTTGGCTCTTCACCCTAACTTCCATCCTGGGCGGAACAAAAGGGGAGATAAGGTGCATTCCCTCGTGCCAGCTACCGCTAATTACAGAATTTCCCCGGGACCTCTCGGAGCTGGATTTCACTAACTTTGGCGAGGCATCAGCGGAAGAATTAGTGGGATTTACGGAGGGATCACCGGGCGCCAAACCCAACGCCGGCGGGGAGGAAAAGCACACGGTTGCGGAATCAACCGCAAGCGAAGAAAGTTCGTCGAAAGTGCAGCCTCGCTCCGGGGGAAATAAATCAAGCTGTCCCCAGAAGGACGCTTTGAACGATAAGCAAAAACTTTCCCACCCGAAAGAGTTCACTGGAAGTGCTTCACCCGCGGCTGCCCCTTCCCCCTGTAATGGTAACGTAACCGAAAATAGCACCGGAGATGGAAAACATAACGAGGAAAACGATGGGGAGCATGTTGATGTGACAGTTAACGAGGATAACGATGTGGCCAGTTGGAGACGAACCCGGAGTGCGAGGAGCGCGGAGGCTTGGTCCGGGTTCAGAGCCGAGGACGGGGAGGACGTCTCGTTCTCGGACCTGGAGGAGTTGGAGCTCACAAGTTCGACATTTGCTCTCGCCGGGGACACGGCTCATAACCAGGCCATGGTGCACTGGTCCGGACAAAACAGCAGCGTGAGTAGTTTATGTTCCCCAGATTTACGCACGGACCTGTTTTGACGCAGTGGGGTCAGTGTTGTTCACTCACCAATCCTGCACAGTAATTTAACTCATTTATATCAGTAGTTTTAGGAGATGAAATATTTGAGTGCTGAGCTGATGCCCTGGCAAGTCAGAGGGATTCAATTTTGCCTTGCCCCCCCCCTCTTTCTTTCTCCCTCTCTCCTCTCAATATACCATTGTTTATTGATTAGCTGACTTGGCAGGTAGGCTGAAGTTTAAAGTAATACAAATAATTAATATAAGTTTAATGTTCTGCCTAGAGTTGTGCTGTTTAAAAAAAAAATCGAATCACTGATTTTGGCTTTAGGCATAATCTACGATTTCCTGTGGATGTGATAGATTTCTATGCAGCTGTCTTATTGCCCTATATGCCTTTCTCAAAAATAGAAATGGGTGTTGTTTCTAAAGGATAGGTATGCAGCTCAATGAGCACAGATACTGGAGGCTAAAAGTGAAAGTCATTATACACCAGATAGGTTAAATAATAATAATAATTTCATTTTTATAACCTCCTTTACACAAACAATGTTACTTAAAGTGCAACAAAAAAAGAACCTTGAGAAACTCAATGAAGTACAAAATAGCATTAAAGTAATATTGTCAAATACTAAATATAGGTACAGGGAGAGATTAAAGACAAGTTGAAAAACAACATCGACGTGTTGATGTGTTTAGCCTCCAGCTAACCCAGATTGGGAACCTCCCATTTTTTTATCTATGATTCTGAACATCTAACAACATACAACGGAGGATGTAAGTAAATCTGAAGGCTTCAAAACCATAGGGGTCTTCGATGTAAGCCATTTAAAGCTTCACTGTATACACAAGCAAAGGGACTTACATACAATCTTAACATCTAAGATTCTTGAAGCCACGTACAGTTCAGACAAAAGCTTTATTTTTTCTTGTTTTGATCAGGAGTAAAGCAGCAGAGTTTAAATCATTTATAGTCCCTAAATAGACTTAAGACCTGTGAGATGTGTTGTAGTCAAGCCTGCTTGAGATGTAAGCACAAATTTGCTTTTTGGAATGTTGTTGCTTTAAATTGCACTCTTGAAATATTTCCGAGCTGAAAGAAGCTGATTTGGAGGTGTGATTCATTACTATAAGCAGCATCTCACACAATTTCAAGGGCTTGATGTGGGGAAACCAGAGATCCAAGATGTTTACGAGGGTGCATTTATTTTGGCCTTGGGGCTTAGCAAAAGTATTTATGTCTTTCTTGTATTTCCTTTAGTCTTAGATAATAATTACGAATGTATAAAGTGCAGACAGGCTGTGAGCCAGTTTATCACATTTCAATAATTTGGTTCTACATATACTGTAGGTTCATTGTCTTTCTTTGGCATAGCTGTGAAAATTGATGTTATGATGACATCATCTGAAGGTACTGTAGACTAAGAAGACCTCTGATGTATTAATGATTTAAAACAGGGTCAGCAGGACCAACCCATTTCACAAGGACAACAATGCTGCAGTCAAATGCCTCCATTGCATCCAACCACAACTAAACCTGGAATCTAAAAACATACTTATATCCTTTTCAAACTGTTGCCTTATTTAAAGGAATAGTTTAGCATCAGGGGTCATGCACTTATTTGATTTTAGCCTCTCATGTTCCAGAGGCGATTTGAGAGGGGGAAGCCATGCCCCTTGTTAGCAAAATCAACTAAATGTATCACCCTTGTTAACCTACCATCTCCATTTTCAGTGCTCTAGCAGCAATGAGAGTGCAGGGCAGAGGGGTTGTTTAATTGAATAATGTGAGTCTATTCTGTTTGACTCACTGGTCCGTTATCTGACTGGGGTTTGTTCACGTTAGAAGCCTCCACTGGTTGCAGCTGCACCGCGTCCAACGGAGCTGATCGCTGCCACACGGCTTATGATTCCAGCAGACGCTCAGCAGAGCATTTCAAAAGCAACTCTTACTGTGCTGAGTATTGATAAATCCATGCTATCTGTGGTGCTGAAGTAGATGAAGGTAGGGGGGGGGTTCTCCTCCCCTGTTGAAAAAGAATAGTGCTCATGACTGTACGTTGAATATGAGTATGTAAGGAGGGAAGGGTGTTGTTGGAAAGTAGGCCTACCCGTCTGCCATACTTTATACGTGCAAGTATTGGTGAGAAAGAAAATACTTGGAGAATAACAGATGGTTACAATCTAAAGCTCCTTTTGATCGATTTTGTAGCAGTATTATCCCCAGGATTTGGCATCATTGTTTTTCACAGTTACATATTACACGTTATAGTCCTTCTTAGATAATTCACACCTAATGTCACAGAGTCCAACCCCACACTTCTAATAATTGTTTAATGTGTGTGTGTTCCAACTTCTGCGACATGTGACAGCCCCCTTTCTCTGTGTAGGTACAGGCCAGGTGATCACAAAGAAGCTCACAGATTTTCCAGCTGGTTTCCAAAGTGGCCAATTTGCTTAAACGTCTTTGTTTAACTTGTCATAGTCCAGTTATAATGGCTCAACCACTTTCCCTAGGTATATGAGGAGATTTAAAAGGGGTTTACCACATTAATAGGCAACCTTATCTTACAGGCTAAATAAGAAGAAGCAGGCAATTTGTAAAATATTTAAGTAGATCAATTGGGGAAAGAGAAGAAAGGGTTTTGGGGCTGATTCAATAGAAGTATTGAGTATTCAATAGACGTAATATCTCCTTTTGTTAATGTGACTCTGTCTCTGTGAGAAAGTGCTGCCTTGTTTATACACTGCAGGCGGCTTCACCCGTTGCCAACAAATCACATATCTTAATAGCGCAGCTTACTGTGATTTTCTTCTTTACAAATTGTGAAATCTGAGCAGTCGTTGAGTTGTGGGCCTACAGAACATCAGCTTCTTCGTCTAATCCTAATAAGGACTATGATGTTTACTTTTTTCTGTCCAATTCAAGACTTTATTTTTTTATTCATTTTCTGTTGAATAGGTTTGATGTTATTGTTCCTTTTATAATATGTGCCTTTATCACAAAAACTTAGCTGCAGTTTCATTTAGCTTTTTAGTCAACATGAAAATCAAGGATAATGTTGCTTTTAAGGCAGTGATTCATGTGGTTTTTGTATGTCACTATAGCCTAGAAGGTCAAATTCTCATTTTCTAGGCAATTAAGCCTTACTGAAAAGATAAGTTTATGTGTTTACTTCATTCAGAACTCTAACGTAGCACCAACAGCCATGGCCTAAAACACCTTATCTACAGGAGCCAGTACGGTTAGATAAATAAATTCTATCCTATTGTGTTGCAGAGGATGTTAATCATAGACTCACTTGACCTTTTATTAGCAATCAGCCAACAAGACATCATGTTTATCTAAAGAAAATATAAGTGAAGGTTAGTGTGCAGGGAGTCAAGTCTGATTTTGATTCGTGCATCTTGCTCCAGGTGGGTGTTGGTAAAATGCTCTATCTGTCTACTGCTGACCTACTGCATGTCCCGTTGCCTTATCTCTACACAAGGCTGTTGTTATGTTCCCAACGTAAGATAAAGAAAACTTGCAAGAAAGCCATAATGATACCAAACCTTCTCAGACATTATTTTAAGAATCACCTCTTTGGATCCACACTTTCATGTATTCAATTTGAATTCAACAGCATTCTGACTTTGTAAAATGCAACTGCGTTAAAGTGGGAAGACACTGTTTGTTTGGTTGATCTAATGCTTTGTTAACTCTTAGATAGGCCTTCATAGCCCATAGTCTGCATGGCCAATACGTCATGAAAAGTCATTCTATGGGGGCCCATATTGAACATAATATATAACAGTCAAGAGCCGCGTTCACACCGCAGTACTTTTCCCACTTTAGTTCCGATATAGTTCCGAAATGTCGCATTCACACCAAAAAGAGCCGGAACTCAAATTAGTTAATGAGAACCTTTTTACCCCCTTTTCCGTCAGTTTTCAGTCCCTGCTGAGAGCAGGTACTTTCGTGGGAGAAAAAGGTTCCTATGTCTGATTGGCTGGGCGGTATGCAAACCACGGCCCGTAAAACTCCCAAAAGGTTTTGTGAAGCCGCCATTTTATTATCCTTGCATTAGCATTATTAGCATTAGCATTAGCCCAGCGCACAAACGCAGAGAGACTAATTTATGGCAACACAAAAGAAAACATGGGAGCGGTGGAGATGAGGAGGTGTCGGCGTTCTGGCGATTTACTCGGAAGGCTTCCAGCAGCTTCTACTGAAGCCAGTCCCCAACTCCGGGGACTTCCGGCCGGGGACTTCCGGCGGCAGTAGCCTATACGCCGTGAAGTTGTTTGCGGCCTGCCAGTAAACCCAAAGCAGAAGAAGAAGAAGTGACGTCAGCGGCTTCATTTGCCTAATCCTCCCCCCAGGGACTTATTCCGGTGTGAACGCGATCTGTACTTAGTTCATCAGAACTAAAGAGTTCTGATGAACTAAGTTCTGATGAACTAAAGTGGGAAAAGTACTGCGGTGTGAACGTGCCTAAGAACATTATTTTTCGATAAACCCTAGAAAATCACCCAATTGTCAAACAGGTGATGCAAGACTGTTCTAACTGAATGTCTAACAGCAACTAATTCGTCAAACATGTTAGGGCCCTCTACACCTGTACATTTGAGCTTGACGCATTATGCAACTTCTCTTCTGTTTATTGCCAGAACAGCAACTTGAACATCAAGAAGCTACCCAATATACGCATAAACAAATATTCAAATCCAGCCAATATTTGATGATCAGGAGATTTGACTTGGTAAGCATATTTTGGTTATACTGAGGTGCTCTAGTTTCATCTCACTGTCAAAGCACATGCAAGTAAGGTGAATCAGAAAGTGTAATATACCTTTATTTGCGAATGTGTTTGTCATTCTGCGTTAGACCTATCAAACTGCCTTGGGTGTTGCCTAGTGCTTGCTGGTATAAGCTTCAGCCCCTCATGACCTTGAACACATGTCCTTTTCTATTTCGCCTCAATCCAGCTGTT